CCAGTTAATAAAAATGAAAAAGGCCTTTTCTTTTAGTCCACCGTTCCACTGAATCGATGAGCTTTAGTACCGCATTTCAAAGTGCTATCCATTTAGAGGTACAGATGTCAACAGTTCACCATTAATTGGTTAACCTCTGAGAATATTTCTGACCAGTTACACATACGAATCTGTAGGTTAATTTTGCTACTCTTCAGTTCACTGCACTGCACACCAAGCGGGTCTGGTAGGAGGTAGCTAGCTAGCAGCGCCACTCATTTGGCAATTACCAATTGTAATGCCGTCCCAACCCAACAGTGTTGCTGTGAAAACATTGTGCCCACCTTTCCGGTCTCCTCTAAGCTCGCCCCAGCGAATAACCGGCTTAGTTTTGAGCCATAAAACCCCTTTAGCATATTTTACTGTTCTCTTAGCACAGTTAGCAGTGGCAACATGGCAAGTGGTGCTAGCATAGTAAACATTACCAGAAGTGTTTTGCAGCTCATAATGAAGCCATTTGTTCATTGGGCGACCTAGGGGAGACTGGAAGGTGGGCACAATATTTCTGCATCAGGGTGGCATTACCAGCTGTAATCCTTGAATGGGAGGCGCTGCTAGCTAGCTAGCTTAGGTTAGCTCCCAACCAAACTAGGTGGTGCCTTTTATTCTATTTTCTGCTGGCTTTGATGACAGATTAACATTACATTAAGATGCGTAAACATAGAGGCTATTGCCCATCCTCCGGTTTCCACTAGTTAGCTAACATTAGCTTTGGCACTGCACAGCACACCAGCCAGGTTTAAGTGGGAGCTAACTAGCGGTGCCGCTCATTCGGCAATTATCGCTAGCTGCTGTGGAAATGTGGTGGCTATCCTCAAGTCAACAGGGGCTGGAGATAGGCACAGTGTTTCTACAACAACCCTGTTGGGTTAGGACACTGTTATAACTGGTCGTCACTGATTGAGCGGTGCCGCTAGCTAACGTTAGTGCCCACTAGACCAAGTTGGCGCGCAGTGCAGTAAACTGAGGAGTTGTGAATTAACCTATAGACAACATGTGTAACCTGTCAAAAATATTCTTGGCGGTTAACCAATTAACAGACAACTGTTGACATTCCTAGCCGTGAAACAATAATTTCAGTATCAAAAATTGTTGTCAGTAAATCTTCTGTTGATCTACTAACCCCTTCAATTCTGTGACAAAGTCTAATAACACGTTTGCAGTGTATATGGTGTTGAGCAATCTTTCTGCCAAGCTCCTCTGCAATTTTGTTTGAATCTTTGTCATGTTGCCAAAAAAGTAAGTGCCTTTTCATCATCCACAAATGTGTCTTCAGCTCCTCAACCCAGCATAAGTTTTGATACCAAGGAAACAGTTTCAAAAGCTTCCACTTCCGTTCAGCTATCCACTGATCTGTGTATCCTTCCCATCCCTCACTAACTCCAACTTGCTGCTTCAACCTCATCCTCTCTCTCATGCCCTCTCAACCTTCTGTCTACCTGCTTCACCCATTCTTTCTCCACCACTGATGTCTCCTCCAATGCCTAATAACTCTTGAATGCACCCTCCTTCCTCTCTCCTCTCTATTTCAGCCCTCCTCCTCCTCCTCTTCTCTTTCTGATTATCTCCTGGTGTCTCTCGGAGCTCTGTCGCTGATAGAGAGCATGCCTGGCTGACACGCCTGGTAATGAGGCTCCTAATGCAGATGGCCTCTCCCGCCCTCTTCTACTCACTTTCTCTCACTCTCACTCTCAAACACACACACACACACACACGGTATGCAGACACACACACATCCTGATGGCAGCCCCCCACCTCTCCGCTGCAGGAGGTCCAAAGCACTCCTGGGTTAAACAGTAGCCGGAGATGTTTTGAAGAAGATAAATAGAAAAAAGCATGACGAGCAATAAATTTGTCTCATCTTTCCTGTGACGGCCACCGAAGCTGAACCCTCATTCGGCTCTACACACACACATGCAAACAAACCCTACACACACACACATCATATATTCAAACAGCTTATAAATCACCTTTACATATTGGAAGTAATTGTTTTTATCTTCTAAAAATATCCAATTTACAGCATTATTGTAATAAATAAGACAATGGCTAATAAAATTAACTATTCTGCATTAATATTTTGACTCTTGACTCTGCACAATGTTATTTGGTCCCAGCTGTCAATCCCCATCTCCGCTTAGAGCATTGTTGCTCATTTCTCATTGTTGACTGTGTCACAGGCCCACAACACACACCCAGCTCATAATTAATATTTCACATCCTCATAAATGCATCAAGTGAAAGAGCAGCGGCTCATGTCAAGCGCATTTTATGACTTGATTTGATCTTGAAAGGGTTGGTTCACCCAAATGAAAGAACATCAAATACTGTCTCACTTAACTGAGGATATCTGTGTGGCTGGATCCCACTAGAGATATGTTCTTAAAAAGTGTTTTCATAATTTGGCTGAACAACCCTCAAGTCATGTTGTGATTGAATGTTAGTTTTTTAGAGGAACACACAGAGGCCATCCAGCCGGTCAATTAACTCGTAGAAAAACGTCAGTTCGTGATTGTATCCAGAGAACTATCTGTCAGGAAGTCCCCCTTACCATTGTATTATTTCTGTTGGGGGACCCATCCACCCTAAAAGACACAATTCGTTCTATCTACCCCAAATGGATCCAGACCACTATCATGTTCAACAACAATGGAAATCAGCTCACACACCATCAATAGCAGACAGGCATAATCTGCTTGCAAAGGTGGCGGCATATGGACGGATATCCTTATGGTAAGGTAAGGTAAGGTAAGGTAAACTTTAATGTCCCTGAGGGGAACAGTACCCAGTATGGCACACTGTCAGGGGTAAATCATGGACAGTAGTGGTCACTGCTGGTTAAGATAAGCAATAGCAGATAAAGGACGATCTATAACGCTTAGTGCTACATTTAGGGAGGCAAAATCTCCACCCTGATGGAAGCATCTGAAACTCAACAAGGAGGGGATGTTGAGAGTCTGAGCTTTAGAGATGACCCTCTCTTCATACAGATGTTGGAGCTTATTACCCTTCTCTCTGTTGGGCAGGATAGTATGGTATTGTTTGAAACTGGAAAGATTTCTTCACTACATTAATGTCCCTAAAGACAATTCAATGGCTTAGCTCCTCTCCATGTATACGCATGTATACACCCTTGCTTTTGCGCACTTGGTCCCACTTACAACACAGCCTCTTTTCTACTCTTATCTTACTTGTACTTTTCCTTGTTACATATATATAGTCATTTAATCCTTGTTTTGTATTTGTTTGTATTCCTTTGTCTTTCTAAAATTGCATTCCTTTGTCTTTCTAAAATTCAATAAAATGCCAATCATAAAAACTTGCAGAACACAGATTGAAACACTACAATCTTCACACTGAAAATGAAACATCAATGACAATCTGAACTTCACTCTGAAAGTAAACATGGGCAAACTGCCTGAAATCTTAAAGTAATATAGCACACTGTCAATGGTTAGTATCAGTGGTCCTCAAATGGTGTGCCATGAGATTTTGTGATAACCACACATTATTATTGCAATATGTGGTGCACACCCATTTCCTATTAAAGAGGCAAACTCTGGCTAAGAAATGTAATTAAATTTAATTTAATTTTAAAAAATCTTCTTGGGTAACCTATTTGTCACTATTCACGTGTAGGAATTTTAAGTGTATGACACATCAAAAGCCCTGAGGGATGATAGCATTTAAAAAGTGAAAGCCATGAGTGCAACAATCGATCGCTTTATTGCGCTGAGAAAATTACAACAAAGCATCAGCGAAGACGATCTACCACCAAAAGAAAAGAGAAAACAAATTTTTTTTACTGAACAGTAACACGAAAGCTACCTGTCTTATTGTCTTATGTCATGATAAGAGTGATAACAGACATTATAGAAGCTAACGAGACTAACTACACTTCTTTTTCAAGCTGAATAAATTTGTCTCATCTTTCCAGTGATGGCCACCAAGGCTAAACCCTTGCTCTACAGACACACTTGCAAACAAACCCTACACACACACAAATGTTAAAACACCTTACCAATCACCTTCACATATAAGTAATTGTTTTCATCTTCTAAAAATATGCAATTCACAGCTATTTTGCATTAATTTTCTGCTTTTTTTTGCATTTTCAAGCTGAATCTTCTGCATTTAACAAAGCAACAGAGCCATATGGTATGGCAGCATACACATCACCGTGTAGTCTATATTGTGAGTGACAAATCCACTGAACTATGTAAAAAGTAGAAAAACAAGCCTCCCTGGGGGGTAGGCATATCTGCCAGACTAAATGACATACAGCACCCACTGGGTAATGATGAACTGTGTTGGCTAAGCAGTAACTACAAAAGGGCAAACCAAATGACATCTATTGGTGTTGTATTCGTACAGTTCAGCTATGTCAAGGTCTGTCTTGTTGACTTGATTTATGAGTCTAAAAATACCAACTAATCCAACTAAGACGTGTGTTTCCCTGACTCCTGATGATTCATGATGTTTCTCAGTGTTTTCTAGTCACATAAACGTCACAACAGTAACTTTGGAGCATCTGTCTCCTGCTCATGTGTGCTCTCTACTGTGTGTGTTTTAATTGGGCTAAACACGGTGTGTCACTGAAGGGTTTTCCACATGATGTGCCCTCTTCTGTCAACGATAAATAAAAGTAAAGAAACCCCCAGCAAAGTGGATGGGCTTCACCTGTGACTCTGACAGAGACAGTGATTAATGAGGAGGCTTTTCTAGCTTACCACACTTATGTGAGGACGTTTAAAGCCTCTCTCGTGGTCAGACATGACACTTTTCATTTAAGCTAGCTCGTCAAAGGTGTAGCTAGCCGCTGGCTAATTAGCTTATTAAGGGATATGAGTGAGTGACACCGAGCTCATTTGAGTGCTCGCTCCGCGGTAAATGACTCTCGCGGAGCCGAGTATTGGTGTATCGACCGGTAGCCTTATCTATCAGGTCTCTGGAGGACTCACCTCTCTGCTGGGCATGGCAGCATTGCCATAGCAACGCGGTGAGAAGCACGAGCCGGAGCCGCGTCATTGTCGTCCTGTGTGGAAGTTTGATATCGTACCGCGCGCGCTGTGCAGTCCGCGCAGTCCGTTGTGCTCTCGCGGAGCTCTGTGTTGCGTTTAATGACAGAGGAAAAGTTTCACAGAAGTTGACCCGAACTCTCCCTCTGTCTCCCCCCCCCCCCCTCCTCTGTTCCTCTACTCCTCCTCTTCCTCTCTCCGCCTGTCCCAGGGATAGATAGATAGATAGATAGATAGATAGATAGATAGATGTAAAATATGTAAAATATGATTACTCTTTACTTATATTTGTTCATTTATCTCTTTTTATTTATTTTTTGTTTTTGTTTTATATTTATTTATTTATTTATTTATGTTGTTGTTGTGTTTTCTTAATTTTTCATTTATTTTGTTTTATTCTTATTTATCTATTTGTTTGTTGAATGTAACATGTAAAATATGATTACTTTTTATTTTTACTTGTATTAATTTATTCTTTAACTTATTTTTATTTAATAATCTATTTATTTTGTTTATGGGGTATGTATTTTGTTTTATTTTTATTTATTGAATGAAACATGTAAAATATTGTTACTTTTTTACTTATATTTATTTTTTATTAACTTATTTTTATTTATTCATATATTTATTGTGTCTATGGGGGGTATTTATTTTGTTTTATTTTTATTCATTTATTGAATGTAAAATATAATTACTTTTTATTTTTACCTGTATTTATTTATTTATTAACTTATCTTTATTCATTTATTAACTTATTCTTATGAACAGTCTTTGTTCATGCCGATAAAACTATTTGCATTTCCTCCTCCACTGTGAAAAGTTCTCCTCAGTTAGAGATTTACATCTTGCAGAAATAAAAAAAAAGTATACTTCTTGACATTAACCCCGCAACAAAAACTGGCAGGTCTCTCGAGTGAAGGGACAACAACTATGTAAATATGTATCTGCCTGCCACAGCCTGAGGGACCAATAACTTATATGTAATCATCTGTAAAAAAAAAAAAAAAAAAGCAATGTATGATATCAAACCTGTACGCAACACCTGTATATTAAGTACAGTATATGTATATAATCTATGTAGGCTGTGTATGTACATGTAAAATATCATTACTTTTTATTGTTTATTTGCAATATCTTTAATGTTCGACAACATGAAATACAACATTTTACACGTATATAATAAACAACAGAAGTCCACATACAATTGTTGCATTTTCACAAAACCAAAAAGAAAAATAAAATAACCAAACTAACTCAAAACAAGAATGTTCATTCTGTTTTAACAATTAATGTTCACTTCTTATGTGTACATGGAAATCACTTAAGCAGACCGGACAAGACAAACAGGACAAACAAAACAATGCTAAGAGTACAGCTACAGATTTAACAACAACAAAAAAAGAATAAATATTACAACTGGAAAGAAAGAAGAAGATGTAGTATGAGGTCACTCCCCAAGGACCTCTACCCACGTACTTTTTATTTTTACTTTTAGTTATTTATGTCTGTACTTAGTTTTAACAATTATTTTTTTTATGAAATGCTTTGGCAAGAACATGTCTTTGGTCACGCTAATAAAGCTATTCGAATTGAATAGATAAATAGAAAAAAACTATGAACATGTTGAACTGTTTGAGCAGTGAGGCAGGTGCTGATACAATGAACACATAAAAGGCATTACAGTACATTTGTGGGTTGCACAACTATGGCAGTTTTGGAAATACAATCTTCGGCTTCAACAGAGCAAATCAACTGTTGCAATAGCACAGCTTTGGCAACCACAAACAAAGAGCAAAGAAGAGGAAAGACCTACATGCAGCACAGAGTATTTTAGAAGTGAAGAGTTGGGACAAAAGTTTTGGTCCAGTTGTGTCCAGTGTGTCACACAACTGTTCTGTGGCTCCTCCTGCTGCCCTGCACAACTCACCACAGTCTGGGGCAAAACTCAAGTATAGGCAGGTATGAATGTCCATAAAAGCTCAGCCAGACGTACATGAGGTATGAAATAAGTGAAAACATTGTAAATATTTTATCCTTTTATGCAGAGAATGTTTGTTTCTAAACTTAGATTATGGCTTAAAGCTCACAAAAAGTTTCTAACGTGAAATATTAAAGTAGTTGAAGTTGATTTTTATTGGAGTCATGCAAAATTCATTTCCAGACACTGAAGAAAACTTAAATATTGTTTGTGTAAAAATGTTGATGATGACACTCTCTTTAATTTGTAATTTACATCATGTGCAGTTTAGGTGAGGAGAAAGCTGCATTAGACATAAAAGCATATCTCCTGTCACTGGTGTCAAACTGAAGTGACTGTGCCCAAAGCTCATTAGTGGCTTTTTTGATGTTCAGAGGGAATGCCACTACAGTAGGTTAAGGTTTTCAGTAGAGTAGTTTATTAAATATCAGCATGACTGTAGGTACATTTAATTCTGAGACAAATAAAAGTACATTAAACTAAGTTTTGCCCTCCAGTTTACTCCTGTGTGTACGTATCTGCTGTGAAGGCCAGTGTGTGTTTACTCCTTCACTGTTGAAAACACTGGTATATTATAATGTTACAGCTCACCAACTTGCCATGCCAATCACTTCATACACCTGTGCTTGTGTGTAGTCATGCAAGTGTACTCGCGCAAGTGTGTGTGCAGTTTTTGTGTTGTGTTTTTTTTTTTTTTTTACAGGCAGACATTGTGAGTGTGGATCTGTGTGTGTTTGGGGGAGAATTTTTGTTTGAGTATGTTTGTGTGTCCAGCGTCAGTCGAGCTCCCCCCAGACCCTTAGATCTCCAGGGGGCAGAGCGGCTGACTCTGCAGACAACGAGGCTGAAGATGGGCTCTCTTCGCTGGGCTCGGAGCTCTGGGCAGCCCTGGGGTGCTGCTGGGTCTCTGTGGGGTTGGGCGGTGTCGAGGATAAACCTGGACTGGACGACAAGGTGAGTCATACACAAATCCACAGATTGAAATACTTCATGTTAAAATTCATAGTAATAAATACATGAATGTAAGTAGGTGCGTTATCATCAACAAAGTCGCTTCATGTTCATTTATACAAACGTGCACAGAAGCCATGAACTCAAATTTTAACAAAGTGTTTTTGATTATCAGGTTATTTCAGGGGGATGAAGAGATGCTGATTCTGACCCACAGTGACGAGCTGAACAGAACCTATGGTGAGGACATCAGATTGCCTTTTGACAATATCACAAACACAACTAACACAAGCTCTGATGACACCAGAGGAAATAGGACCTCATTCAGAAGACACAGTCTGTCTCTGACTGAGCAAGTTAATCCCAGTATCCCAGCATCCACCAGCACCTTACTGCAGGAGAGTCAAGCTTTCAAAGAAACCAGAGCCACTGCCATCTCCACCGGACCCAGAACCATCACTATAACTTCAGCCGTTTCCTCCGTAGACTCCCTTTGCTTCAAAAACACAAGAAACTATGGCAAAGGAAGACGAGCCTCTGAGACCCAAGCTGACAAGATGGGAAGCAACAGAAAGGAGAACCAGAACCAGGGTCACAAGAGAGGATCCTACAGGCTGTTTAGAGGGAACATGCACAAACAGAGACTTTCTGAGGATGGAGAGGAGACCATGGAGGGGACGTCTCAGTTCTGTACCAGCCTTGACGACGAGAGAGCAAGGATGAGTTTGACTAATCATGTTCAGAGCCCCGATACCGACACAACAGGTGTGAGTCATTCTCCCACCATCACTGCCTGGGAGGCTGGCTGGAATGTCACAAATGCTATACAGGTACGCTGAGTTCTTCAGTATGTGCATGGTCAGAAATCATTTCCATACATATAAACGTGTAAAAAATTACATTGGAATATATATTTGGTGACTTTCATATTACTTTAAGCTGCATCAAATAAATACTTATACTTACATATAAATTAGGCTACTCACCCCACGTAAAGCTGAATTTGTGAAGGAAACTGTTTTCCACATGTATATGTCTAGTGAACTAAGAATCCAAAAACACAAAAAAATTTGATGAATTAAACAAAACATCCAACAACAAACTCCCAAACAGACAGCCCACTCTGACAGGAAACTGAACAGAAAATGAAACTTTTTTATGCAGAGAGTTTATTTAATCTGTTCCCTAACCCACGCTACATAATCTCGCAATTATATGAGACACTACAAAATATGTGCCTTCCCAAAATGGACAAGATAAAAGAAGAGTGGGAAAGAGAGATTGGAGCCTTGATACTTCCCAATGTGTGGGAGCAGAGTTTGGAGTACATCCATGAATGTTCCATTAACGCCCGACACTGCTTAATACAATTTAAAATCCTGCACAGACTTCATTATTCCAAGACAAAGTTGCATAAAATATTTCCTGAAGTCTCTCCTTTGTGTGAGAAATGTGAGTCTATGGAGGCTACCTTATCACATAGTTTCGTTCTTTGCCCCAAACTTCAAAACCTTTGGTATGAAATATTTCAATTTTTTTCTGTGATTTTGGGGGTCCAATTAGAACCAGATCCTATCTTAATAATTCTGGGAACATCAGATGAGTTACGGAGGCTAAATGTTGCACAGCAGCGTCTTCTGGCGTATGGTTTTATAACGGCAAAAAAACTGATCTTACTTTACTGGAAAAAGAAAGAGGTGCCCTCCTTCAAGCACTGGTTGACTGACTTGACAGACACCTTACATTTGGAAAGAATTAGATTTATTCTGAAAGATAAACTGAAGGACTTTCATAAAATTTGGCGACCTTTGGCCTCTCATCTTGAAAGAGAATCTAACTGAGACTCTAGTTTAAATGCACTCCTAGGGAGGGTTGGGTGGGTGGGGGCCTGGGGGGGGGTATGCTCTATTGTTGTTTATTTTTGTTGTTGTTGGTTTTTGCTTGGATGATGGTTTTGTTTGCTTATAATTTGCTACTTGTCTCACTTGTCTTTTTTTCAGGGATTGTGTTTGTGGAATTATTATTATTATATTATTTTTATTTTATTTTTTTCTGTTTCTGTAAAAAAAAACAAAAAAACAGAGGAAACGTAGCTACCGAGTGTCAATTTCACTGTTTATTGACTGGTTTCCCAATAAACATATTTGAAAGAAGAAACTTTTTTATGCTCTCTTCAGAGCCAGACTCCATTGACAAAA